TTTAATTTTTTCTTACTCGGTTTACTAAACAGGTTGTTGATTTTTTTTAAAACGGAAAATAATTGAGTTGAAAATAATTCACTAAGATTGTACTTGGACGATCCTAAGGGAAGAAGAAGGAAGGGAAAGAGAGAGGTCGAAAAATAAAAAAAAAGCGGTCATTAACAAAACACGAGTCAGAAAGATATCTTAGCTAGCATGTTGACCGAATTTTTTTAAAGACAATTGGAAGAATAGAATTAGAAATAATAAGAAGAAAGAAAGGGAAAAAGACATGATATCAAAACGGGCCGCTTGATGGAAGCCAGATATCGGTCAAAGCACCTAGCCTACTTTTTTGCATGGAAAGACACCTTATCAATTTGGATAAAGAGAAATTTTGGGAACAATGAAACAATCTTAATCAGAGAAAAAGTGTCTTTTGGGTTGAGGGGAGGACCGGTGGAACGGTATACAGGCTCTGACCTGTTAAAAATTAGAACCCCCACAATAATAAAGTGGAGACATTTTCAATGTAGATAATTAAGATTTTTTTGACTATCAGGAAAAACAAAGAGGTAAAAAGAGGGACAATTGCTTTTTGGCTCACAGAGGGCGCCAAGAAGGCGGAAAAGATCCTTTCTGAGGTCAAGTCTAATTAGCGGCGGGCTGTTTGACAAAGTCCAGGTGAGAGAAGGCCAAGATGGTCATTTTTCGTACGTGCGAAAAAAAAAAGGAAAAATTAGATTTTGTTTTTTAGAACAAGAACGATATAAGCCCTCCCCGATTGATTGCAGGAAACGCCCAATCAGGATCTCATTAGCCGAAAACGGTCACGTGGCTGCAGAAAAGAAAAGAAAGAAATGCTCAACCAGAATCCCATTAGCCGAAAAACGGTCACGTGGCTGCGGAAAAGAAAAGAAAGAAATGCTCGATCAGAATCTCATTAGTCGAAAGCGGTCACCTGACATACGAGAGACCGAGAGAGATGGATATGCGCCTCCCCACCAAAAGCACTATGAGGAAGTAGGGGTGAAAACAATAGCGATAATGGGAAATCAAAAATAATGCGACTTTTGGAGTTATCGAGAAAACCCTGACGCCGACAGACCCACCCCAGTTTGTTGCGGCGTCAATAAAAGCAGGACCCCAGTCGACAGAAATCAGTTGGAGTTGGAGTTGAGAGTTGCAGCTGGACCGCGGGCAGGGATAGAGCCTGAACGCGGGCATCAGGCCCGATTCACTCGCCCCTTTGCGGGCAAAAGAATCCTCAGACAAGAAATCCTTCCAGCCCAAGTCGAAGACAGAGAAGTTCAGCCCCGGACGGCAGCGAGAAGAGATCACCTCCACGACAGAGAGTTGCGGCTGAGTTGCGGCAAGAGATCCTTCCAGCCCAAGTCGAAGACAAGAGAACTTCCAGCCTAAGTCGACGAAGAAGAAGAAATACAACTCAAGTCGGAGAGAAGAATCAACTGCGAATGATCGATAGAAATTAGCCCCAGTGTCGAACCAAACCACACTCCGACATACACAATTCTAAAGAGTAGGCAATTCGAAATCTTTAGGTTGTGTGATAGAAGCTTGGTGCCATAGTCCACAGAGCGGGTTGGGAAATGAGAACAATTTTGTTTTTATGTAGCGGACATTAAGATATAAAAGGTTGTTACCCATTTTTTTCATCAGCAATCTTTTTTGTCTAATGAGTTTATTTTCTCTTTTATTTGTGTTTTGCCACCCCCGTCGGACTCGACTTGTATCGGCCCCAATCCCTGCTGGTCCCGTCTGTCTAAGATCTAAACACAGCGTGGGTAGACAGACCGGAGATCGGTACAGTTGCTTTAGTGACCAGGTATTGGAAGCGAGTCGGGAAAGGCGAGGCTGGTGATCATCTGACCAAGGGGTTGGAGCGGCACGCTTGGACCCAGGATGAGCGACCAGGAGGAGCGACGTCACCGTTGGCGCCGTAACCAAAGGATCCGACCCTGGGCCAGGTGTGTAACCGTCACACAGATCTGTTAAATGACAATAAAAGATGACACCGGATTAGGTAATCCGTTGTGGATTAGGGAGAAAGCACGTCTCAATGGAAGGGAGAGGGCATCTGAATCCGAAGTTGGAGCCACGTGCAGCGAAATGTGTCAGCTGATGTCATGTTAAATAGAAAATATCTGAGCTGTCAACAAATTTCAGACATTTATTTGCTCTGATTATTATCAGCTAAGTGAAGTGGTCCTCACAAGGACATGAAGGTCACTGAATGAAAATAAATTACTTTTTTAGGCGAAGATGATACGACAAAGAACAATGCTCTCTATAAAACAGTGGTCACTACCAGCGGAAAACACAGAGAGACAGAGTGACGGCGTGAGACAAGAAGACAAGAGGCGACGCGAAAGAGAAGACGCCTGTTAGACTGTTCACCTCCCTATCACCTCGCTCCATCTCTGCTTCGCTCGTCTATAGCAGCAGGTGAGAACCAGGGAATAGAATTTGCTTACTGTTACAAAAGTTTCATGGTTTTAATTCGTCGGCGACGATCAAGCCGAAAAGGTTATTTTTTTTAAAGCTACAAACGATTGACTGAATGAAGCTGCACCCTGAGAACGAACCCGGTATCTGATATGAGCTGCAACGTTACACATATCCCGATATGCAATAAGGAACACGCCTCTATTTCCTGAAGTGGAAAAACTGACATCCATTAGGAGAGGGTATAAGATTCCCACCCACCTAGACTGCTTAATTTAATGGACCGTTTTATAGGCGCAAAAATTTCTTAGGTAGGACAATGAACTACATCCGGCAGCAAGGCTTCTAATCAATAGATTGGAGGTTTTGAGGAGCGTGGAACCACCTCTTAACTGTTGTTGTTCGCAGGTCCACCTTGATCCGGGGTGGTAGCACCTGTTAGGGTCCCAGTTATGGGCAAATAGTGAACCCCCAAACAAAATCAACAGCTCATTTTTATGATAAAATTACGTACAAAATATTTAGATTTCGGTATAAAATAACCGATGGGGGATGATGTACCGCTAAACAAAACCAAACAACCAGCAATACCTATTTATAGTAAAATTACCAGCAATACCTATTTGTAATAAAATTACAAACAATACCTATTTATAGTAAAATTACTGTCATGGGTCTTTACCTATAACTACAGAATGAACTCTTCCTAACACTATGTATACTACGCCTCTCAAGAGAGAGGGTCGAATCGAGTCGAGCCGATAGTAGTTCACTCCAAACCAGACTGACAGTCATACTAACACCTTCCACATCTTGTATTATTATTTCGTGTAATATACCTTCGTTATTTCTACTCTTGTGTTTGTGTTGTTCTTCCTTGGTCCTAACCTGGACCATAACAATTATTAACAATACCTATGTATTGTAAAATTGCCAACAATAACTATTTATAGTAAAATGACTAACAATACGTTCTATCTGCAGTTGAAAGCATACAATTACAGGATCTTTTCTGTTAATTCACCCCAAAATAAAATGATTTTATATTTACTAAAATTCACACCAAAATTCAAAACTGTTCTTGAAAATTTGCCCAAAAATGCATTCATTGTTATTATTTTTTTTTTTGTCTTACGTTTCCAAAGGAACTCACCCAAATAAGTCTATCATTCTGCGATGAGTCCTGAACATGGACTTATTCTTCATTTTGGCGTTCCGCCAGGTACTTTCGATTGCTTGCGGGTAGACTGATGTTTCTGGGTCAATTAAATTCATACTGTGATTTACAGTCAAATGAAAATAATTGGGATTATCCTTTAAAGATGTATATCTTTTCCAATAATCCGACATAATCGTAGTCCCAGGTAAAATACAGCTTCGGATTGTATCCAGTAATATATGGACACTTCTTTCTGGCAACAAACATCGTGGCAAACTAAACAGATTTTGATTTAAAATGTTTAATTCCAAAAGAGTTCCAAAATTTTAATAAAAAACAAACTTTGATTTCAAATTTGCAATTTCTTGGGGTGAATCAATATTTGCGATAAGTATCTTATATTACCTTATATTATTTGATGTGAATTCACAGAAAAGATCCAAATTTCGTTCAAAATATATTTAGTTGAAGCTATAAAATAGAGTAAAGAAATATTTAGATTTCGGCATCAAATAATCCATAGAAGTATTGAAAAAAATCAACCAAGCAACAACCAACATTTCTTATAAATTGTAATAGAGTGCGATCGAAAATTTACGGCTGACCTTTTTATTTCGTACTCGACAATTTGTTGAGTGAGTTCCCGTCAGTTAGATAATCCGATAGAACTTGGATTTTATTTCAAGTCTCTATCAGATGATCTAACTCACGTCAGGTACAATGATCTATTTGGAGGGATATCTAGACCGGGAGACAGAGAAAAAGGAAATTGAATAAAAAGTACGGTCAAAAGAAAAACCTGGGTAACGGGAAAATTAAGAAGAATTAAAAGCCACAAAGGAAGACAGACTGAGCTGCTTTTTTTTGAAAATTTTTTTTACAGTACAAGGTCAGGGGGCCACTCGAGCTAGAGGGTTACATTAAGGAACAGTTTATACGGATAGGAGGTGGGCACCTCTAGGCGGTGTAATGGTAAGCAAGCTTGTCTCTCTAAATCAATTACGACTGAGTAGTGAGTTCGATATTCACTGTGTGCCCCCATACTTTCGGCCTTGTGCCACATCTAAGCTATGCTTAGAAAACCACTATACCGATAGGAGGGAAAGATAACGGTTACTTATATACTTGAACATGATCGGGAAAACATCCTCTTGGGAGTCGTTTCAACAGAAAATGGTTCGCGAGAGTGTAACTTACTTCTTACTTTAGGAGGGGGATGTGGGTGGTTTGGTACAATGGCGGGTCCTAGCCGTAAAGGTTAGACCTGGTGGAATCAAGGAATGTAGTCCGTCCAAGAATTTTTCTTAGTAGTAGCGATAGAGTAGTGGGAGGCATACCATCGCAGATAACGGGATAGGTTGATCGAATGGAGTCGAAAAAAAATGAAAATAAATTAAAAATAAGCGAAAAAGAAGAGAAAAAAAATGTAGCAAGGAGCTGCAAATGACATTCCACTTGAGACAGACGAGAGGTACTGGACCGAGGTAAGCACTGCGAAACTTGAAATAACAGATAAGTGGCATTCGGTTAAGTGGTCAAATGAGAGGAAAGGAACTTGCGGCGCGTGGCGCACGTGCTGTAAAATAACCAGCAGGAAATGGACAAGTTGGAATGCAACAGATTGCTTATGTTCATTTTCTTTATCGTCTACCCTAAATGCGAAATGTCGCTGTGTCACACTTTTTCAATTAAAGGGACACAACTCTCTAACTTTCAATAACTCATGTTACAGAAATTTTGGGTTCCCAGGTTTTTATTACTGTAATTGCTTTCAGCGATTTTTTTTATGTGGTCTTTTACGACGATTTTTTTTCTTTTGTACGATAACAATTTTTATAACGTGGAATTAAATTTGGAAACAATCGAAATTAATTGCGAAATCCAGCGAAAGTCACCTATGAAATAAAAGTAATTGTTTGTCCGGAAAGTAAGAACCTACGTACATCAAATTGTCTTTAAATTAAATGGCAGCAGAAGAATTATCGTTGAACTTTTAAAAGGTAAGCTTAATATTAATATTAAATGCTTAATATTTAATACTTAAATGCAGTGATCAATTTTGAGTTCCTCTATAGTTTATTGTTGCCTATCGCATACGGCAGCAGTAGGCCTCGCAAAAAGAAATCTCCCTCAGATTGCAATAAAAAAAACCAAGGCCGCAGTAAAGAAAAGAAAGTCCTGTGCAAATGAAAACTTAGATCAAACGGCAGCCAGGAGTTTCCAGTGCTGTGAATATGCAAAGACTTAGGGGCTTTCAAACTCCTGAACAACCTGAATGCCCAATCAAGGGCCTTCCGAAGGAGATAGCTTAAATGCCGCCTCATCGGGCGACATTTAAGCTAGTATGTTATATAACTGACCAAATACTTCGGTGTGTGGATCAATTATGACAAATTTAGTATAGCAGATAAGGAAATTGGTTGTAGCATAAGCGGCGCTCGAGGTAATTCTCGCCCAACAATGCAAACAGCTATAAAACCAAAACATTAACCTGAAAACTCGTCCTATGTTCTTAAATAGTCACTATAAACATTTTATTTTCTTATTACTGTTAGTCTTTGTAGTAAATAAATGTTTAATCGTCAAAGTTGTTTTTTTTTTGTTTTTTTTTAGAAGGGTGTATTTCAGAATTAGTGATTAAAGAACCGCCAAAATTATTTGTGAATTGTTGTGGATTCATTTTTTGAATCTAGGGAAACATAAGTTTTACTGGCCAATGAGAAGCGTGTTCTTAAGTCCTTGTTAAAACCAAGAAAGAGGACCGCTGTTAACGGATGGTTCAGAAGGAAATTAATCGTTAAACAAAACTTCTTGTTGACGTCTCTATCTCCTGGCAGAGAGGAACCCAAACGAGGCTATGCGGAAGTGCAGAGTCTCATCTGGGGAGATAGACAAACGCGACCCCGTGTATACAGGGTCTACGGGATATATTTGCCCGAGCTTACGAACTCAGAACGCCCCACTTTAAAAACTGGCCTTGTGCCACATCCCGCCTTGTGGGGAGGCTTCGGGTAAGTACCGAAAAGAAAGAAGGTCCGACAGCTATAGGCCGATACAAGCCCCAGGACAGAAAATTCCTTCCTGCGTTTTCGTAAGAACAATTTAAACGAAACGAACATTCAAGTTTACCTTTTCAGTAAAGGATTACATAAAGCCTCCGAGACTTGTTGAAAATACGAAATCCCTTCGTGCTGAGATATTCTGTTAAAAAAATTAGGTGGGTTCGGTTTGGTTTGGTTTGGTTTGTTTTGTTTTACGGCATATCAACCTCAATGGGTTATTTAATGCCGACAAATTTTTTATTGCTGGTAATATTTTTTCCCAAAATGTATTGCTGGTAATATGTTTTTTTTCCCCAAATCTATGTCTGTGAATATTTTTTCTTCGAAAATCTATTGCTGGTAATATTTTTTTCAAAAAATGTATAGCTGTCTGTATTGCTGGTAATATTTTTTTTAAGTATTGCTGATAATAATTTTTTCCTTCAAAAATTAATTGCTGGTTATATTTTTTTTTTACAAATTATTTCTGATATTAAAACCTATTTTTACACCTTCATAGTGCTTTGACCCCAGTTTGGGTCTATTTTCCCATAACTTGGACCCTAACAGGTGCTACCACCCCGGGCCAGAGTGTACCTGGGAACACCGACAATTAAGAGGTGGTTTCACGCTCCTCAAAACCTCCTGATCAGAGGCCTTACTGTTGGACGTAGTTTATCGTTTTACCATGGACACGGATGTAGTTTATCGTCATACCCAGGACCCTTAGATGGGTTCGCTTTGTATTTTTTGCTTTGTGATATTATTTACCTCCTCAAAGTTGCTTCCTTGTTTTCATTTTTTTTTGTCATTGAATCCATGTCTTTTCCTAATCTAAACTGTAACCTTTTTTTTCCTTTTCTCGATGTAAATACTTTTTTGAACCATCTGAAATTTGTTATCCTGCCTTAATAAGCGAACAAAAGAAAATTTTTGTGCAAATTTTGTACTTGTACCTTCTTTTGTCTTCACTTGTGTATTAAACATTTTTCCTTTAACATGTTACGCAGTGGTTGAGTCTTATTTGTGATTTGCGCCTATTTGGGCCCCAAGAAGAATAAAAGCAAGTTTAGTTTGGTTTGTTTTACGGCATATCAACCTCATTGGGTTATTTAATGTCGACAAGATTTTAAAAAGATGTATTGCTGGTATTTTTTTTTCAAAAATGTATAGCTGGTAATAATTCTTTTTACAAAAAATATATTGCTGGTATTAAGACCTATTTTTACACTTTCATAGCGTTTTAACCCCAGTTTGAGGGTTAACTATTTACCCATAGCTGGGACTCTAACAGGTGCTACCACCCCGGTCAGAGTGAGCCAGGGAACAGCAGCAATTAAGAGGTAGTTCCACGCTCCTCAAAACCTCCTGATTAGAGGCCTTGCTGTTGGACGTAGTTTATCGTCTTATCCAAGAGGCGGATGTAGTTTATCGTCATATCCAAGACGGAGAAAGGCACGATTTCTCTTTTCCCTTTCTATTCCCACTAACGAGGTTTTGTCCTTAGCACAAGAATTTAGATTTGATTGGGAGTTAAAATTTTTATATTTTGCACAAAAAGACGAATGTGGTCTTTGTGTAAATTTTAATTTTTATATGCCATCAGATCGTGGATTTTATATGGATGTCATGCATGCTACGAAATCCGTTAATAAAAACCTAAGCCAGTGGTTCTCATCCGGGGTCTTTTATAGACCCTGAGGGTCCATTTAAAATTACTGAGGGTCCACACAAAAAATAACAATTTGGGGCTCACGGTAATATTTTGATGGTTCATAGAGCAATTTCACTTCGGAATGGTTGTTACAACTGAGAATTGGTATTTCCCACAGTAATCTACGCCATATTAAAATACTAAAAATAGAAAAACAACTCTAAAACTAGCAGAAAACGAGATCAAGCGATATAGATTAGCGTCCCTTTTACTCTACCGGATGATTTGATTGTAAAAGTTGAACAAAAACTGAGAAGGATATATAAAGGAAAATTATATTTCATTTATTATATAAAATTAATTTAATATATGAATAATAAATAATAATATTAATTCTAAATATTAATAAAATAAAATATTATAAATTAATTAATTTAGTAATAGATTCGACATTTTGAATAGGAGTGATCTTCCATTGTCGTTGGCATCGATGGAGTAGAATTTAAAAAAAAAACACGCAGAGCAGCATCAACTGCAGGAATCTTATTGAATAAATCTGTACTTTTAAAATTTATTTACTCTCATATTTTTAAATGGTTTAACATGAGAAAATAATGACATCATCAAGAGGCTGATGTTCTACACTACTTCAAACAAAAAGCTAGGATGGAAACCCTCATTTATATGAGAAAGAGCTATAACAGCTATTGAGTTTGAGAAATCTATTTTCTTGAAAAACTGTTTTAAGAAAAAGATTAACTTTCAACCGACGCTGATACTGACTGCTTAGTCAAGGAATGGCGAATATTTCCTTATAAGGAAACGGCTAATATTACCATTGTTATTAAAAGGACGTAACTTTTTTTTAATCATTTCACCCCAGGCAGGGCAGTAAAGCCACTAAAACGCAATGGGTTACTGAGTGTGAAAGAATAAGAAAAAAAGAGAAACATTATTAAGAAGCGAGAACAATAAAAGAAGAGGAACGAAAAATATAATAGATAGAGAGTGACATTGCATTTTAAATTTTGATGATCAAAGATGGCTAGAAAGTATGAAGCCAGAAGAGAGTTTCATAAACGAGAAATGTGAGAGACGAAAGTGTTAGCATAGAACTTACGGTTGCATTGAACCAGTTCAGCTGTAAATTGAGGAAACCTTGCCGCCAATCTTGTATTGTGCTTAAAGTCATAAAGTCTAGCTACCATAGTGGAAAGTTCATCAGAACAATTACCATGAAATTATTTATAGGAAAGACACAGGGAAGCTACATTATGGCGATGGGAAACTTAACTGGTTTCTTTTTCAACAGTATGTTCCAAAAGTCACAGAGGGATTTAATTGTTTTAGTATTCAAAAATAGTTTTATACAGAAGGAAAATTCAAACATAAGAAATATATTCTTATTTAATTATGACAAATTATTTGACGTAAATGTCCTCCATTTTCGATTTCACAGAGACGCGTTCTTTCAAGAGTATTTTCGATAACAGCGGTTAATAAGATTAGCTGCAACCATCGAATTTCCGCACCGAGGTTATCCTTGAATTGTTGAATTCTTTGGGTGTGATTAAGAGCTGCAAATGGACAGGAAATTATGGAGAGTCATGATCGCCAACATAATGAAAGGGACACGAAACGTAGAAGAAGTAGAAAGGGGACTTTTAGAACATCCTGTAGATAATGGGTCCGACAGAATTGTTCCTGGCTGATATTGAGAATAATCGGTATACCGTGGTGCATCGATAGTGCCACCTTTAACCTTAATCCAAGTGGGGTTAGAGGGTTTTTTGCCCGTGCATAACTTTCAATTGATACTGCTTCTTTTGTGGTTGAGGTATTAATTTTAAACTAAATATGTTACTCGTCATACCCAAGAATTTAATTTCTTCTTTGCTGATCGCCTCCTTTATGATAATGGAGTTGATGACTACATTCGCCGCTAAAGTGCAGGTTCAGGACTAGAAGCTTCCAGTTTCATCAAAACCTACGCCTGTCGTCCATCCACTATCGCCGTTTGACTTTGTAAAAGTTGGTTGAGGGTGAAAAAAAATCAGAGTAGAAGAAAGTGCCGATGACGTGAATTTATTTATGGTGGACCTCAAATTCCTAGAAAGTTACACACCTGATTTCATGACCTTCTTCTGTGGCGCACATGGAATGAGACATGCAGAATCCAGTGATGAAACTGCAACGGACTATCGCTGACTCTGCTATAATTTCGAGTCGCGCCTTCTGTGGCATGTCCGTCGTTGGTAGCCCCCTTCAGCCGCTGGTTCAACAGTTGAGATCTTGTTCCACAATTGGGGTCTTTGGGGTTGGTAGCGCTTAGTCTGAGTCCGAGTCTGCTAGCTTGCCGCCAAAATAATTATTAAAAATTGGCTTATCGAGAAAAAGATCTCAGAATAGAGACATACGTTAGAAATCCAATCAAAACAGCAATATTTGACAAGAAAACATCGAATTTCACAAATATTTTAATTGCACTGATGTCAGCAAAATAGCTGGAAAATATGACTATTTTATTTACGTGTGTACTAACCATTCTGATATTAATAAAGTTTCAATAAGAAGTCTCTTAGCGAAAAAATACAGAAAATATAAAATTCACACGGAAAAATTATGTACAATTGGTAACATCATCAAAGTTCATGAGGACGTCACTAATTTTAGACCCGTTGAAAGTTTAAAATAAAAGCTAAAAAATAAAAGAAAACTTCTGCAAAGTTTCAATCAATTTGAGCCATTATTCGACGCTTTATTATGAAAATGTCTAATTAGTTAGTCGTGTAAAATAATTAAAATTAATATAAAAGAGTCAATAAATAAATACATTTGTCTATCACTCGTACTTTTTAGAGAATTTTATTTTAAAGAAAGTCAGACGGTTTATAAAAAAATGTTACATTGTGTTTTCAAAAATTCTTATTTTTTAGAATTGACGGTTAAAGAACCGCCAAAATTATTTCTGTCATGGCGGATTGTTTCAAAATCATCTTTTTAATTAAACAAAAATGTACTATTTTATTTATTGTCCAATCAAAAGCGTGGGCTTATGCCTTCGTAAGTTTTGAAGTCAAGGTCTGTATGGAGCCTCTTCATTCCCTATATAAAAAGATGAGCCAGCCGATAAGCAGTAGAATGTAATAAAATGTCAAGGCGGAAGGTGGTTTTCAAAGTAGAAGGGAGTGATAAGTCACACAAAGCGACGTAGCCAGCTGGCTGCGGAAGACGGTTTCACATTTCAAAGGACGTCAAATCTTTAAACAAGAACCAAATATTTCAACCAAGACGAACTGAAACAAAAGTTTAATCCAGAAGTCTGGCAGAATAAGGAGCCAGAAGAGAAATCAATTTTTGGCTGCTTTCCGATCTTCTCTAGGGGAAGCCAATAATTGATTTGCAAAAAAAAAACCCAGAAACCTGTTAATGGAGATTTCTATAAAGGGAAAATTCCCGTCACATCGGTAGCTACAAGATTCCCCCAATTCCCTTCGTGTTGTGATTTTTTTTCATATTACAATTAGGTGTGTGCATCTCTTTTTTTCAAAAAGTATTTTCTGCCTTATCCAAAATTCAAATTAGCCTTTACAACATTTTTTTTCGAAGATTGTTTTGAAATCTTTTTAAATCACGTGTATATTTCTTGCTATGTTATCCTTCTTTACTTTTTTAAATAAGGAATTTTTGGTGCAAGCCCATCTTGTAAAATATTGTATTTGTTTTAATGTTTTGTAATAAACATTTGTTCTTTTAAATTTCAGGTAATAGTCGAGAGCCTTGTTTGTTTGCTTCTTTTTTTTAATATTCGGGGGAAAAAAGCAGACGTTCTTTCTTCTTCCATTCTTTCCCAGGAAAAATAAATTATTTTATTGTGCAGAAAAATAAGTTATTGTAAGAGAAATTTCCTTTACCATGACTTTTTAAAGCTTGCGGAGAAAATCCCACCGGCCCTGGGTATGACGATAAATTACATCCGACAGCAAGGCCTCTGATCGGGAAGTTTTGAGGAGGGTGGAACCACTCCTTAATTGCTGATGTTCCCAGGTCCATCCTGACGCGGGGTGGTAGCACCTGTTAGGGTCCCAGCTATGGACCAAGAATACCCCCCCCCAAAAAAAAGGTTCAAAACACTATGAAAGTATACAAATATGTTTTAATACCAGCAATACCTTTTCGGAAAAATTATTAACAGCAATATATTTTTGAAAAAGAAAAATATTGCCAGCAATACATTTTGAAAAAAAATATTACCAGCAATAAAAAAATCTTGTCGGCATTAAATAACCCATTGACGTTGATATGCTATAAAACAAAACAAATCAAACAAATATATACGATAGATAGATAGATAGATATCAATAGACTGACATAGATAGATAGATGGATAGAAATAGACTGAGATAGATAGATAGATAGATAGATAGATAGATAGATAGATAGATCAAAAATATTACCAGCAATAAAAATCTTGTCGGCATTAAATAACCCATTGAGGTTGATATGCCGTAAAACAAACCAAACCAATCGAAAAACCCACTGCCTTACGCAACTTCAAAATATAACATGCCTGGGTTAAGCGAACTCACACATACACAATGGCTAATTCCAGACTGACTTATCACCGTATCCAAGCCCTATTCAACACACTTCGGAAGGAAATGTTTATGGCAATTCCTCATTCATTTTTATTCAGCTAGCGCATTTTGTGTCGTTATGGTCACCGTTTCTTGCGTGTCTCATTATTGTGCTCCTTGACGACATTCAAGACAGAATAGTGCAATGGCTTACCGGTTTCTTTTGCACCGGGGATTTTTAGGTTACCCTGTCCCTCCATTCAGAGGTGGATTTGTTTTGACTTACTTTCTTCTAGCCTTAGCCTAAAGAGGCAAAACCCTGGTGGTTTGAATTCAGTTTCCTTTTCCGACACTGGTTGCCACCCAAAGGCCAAAGGACCCGGTCTGACATGCTATTTTACCAATATCTGGAGAGAGAAGAGATAGATTCATACCTTTCCCAAGAGTATAAACACATAAGTGAATGTGATGAACTCGGCTGGAATTCGAACTCGGCTCTCCGATTCCGCAATCCGAGCCGCTAGCCATTACTCCACCGTGACTCCAAATAGGGCAGTTATATTAGAGCATTATTATAGTTTATTAAAATTAGTACTGGTTAAAGAAAAGAAATGCTTTATGGTAGCAAATGCTGGACAATTTCATCACAGATGAAGAGTAGACTCGGGGTAACAGAAATGTGGTTCTACAGAAGGATACTGGGAATACCATGAGTGGAGCATGCGAGTAACAAAGAAGTTTTAAAGAAAATGAGAATAAAAAAACACTTAGAACCAGAAAGAGACAGTTGACATATCTGGGTCATATAATGAGGAAAGAGGACTTGGAGAATATGACCATCAAAAGACAAACTAAATGCAACAAGGACAGAGAAGGAAAGAGAATAACATAACCAATGAGTTGATATAGATGGATGACAGAACTGGGAATAGGGAGTGATGGTATGGGCGGGTGACAAACGTTGTTTAGTGCTTCGAAGGTCAGAACAACCTTCCTTTGCTAAATGAAAGAAATATCTTCGATGTATTCGAAGTAATTAATATTCCAGTTTGGTGTTCTGGATCGGATAGAAGGGGTGGAGTAATTACACGACAATAGATTCGATAATTAACAAAAAAAAATCGTCGGTTTAATTAACGAAAACGAAATCGTCTAGGCACATCAGATCCCAGATTTAAATTTGAACGTCCCTACAATTTTTCCTCGTTGATTAATTATGACCAGTGTGTGGTTAGATTTTCATTCACTTTCCTCTCTCTCTCTCTCTCCATATATATATATATATATATATATATATATATATATATATATATATAAGGCAGGTTTTGTGTGTGTGTGTAACGAATGCACGCCGCAATTTTCGACGGATTTGCACCAAAATTTACATGCACATGCTCCAAGTTAGCGGGAAGGCAAAGACCGACTTTGCATTTCCCAACTCCCATCGATAGTGGAAATAATCGATTTTTTTCATGCTTCTACGGCAGTTTTCATGTAGTTTGCGCGCATTTTCTACTGGCCAGAGTGAGAGCCTATAGCTGGCTGCCACGAATAGGCAGGAAGATTCTATTGGCCAGCGTGAGAGCCAACAGCTGACTGACACGTATGTTAACTAGCATGCTAGCTTGCAAAAAAAAATCGATAGCTGCATTCGTCACAAGTGGGAAAAATTTAAATCTGCATGGCACTTTCGTCCACTTGGCTCAACGTTGATTCTAATTCCGCAGAACTGGGTTGGGTGTGAAAAAGTATTTGTTGTTAACATTCTTTTTTCATTCGATTTTTCCAGTTACGAATCCTTTTTTAAAGCTGATCGTTTTGTGTTCATTTTGTTAAGTTGTTTTTTCGTAACAGATTTAATGTTTAGTATAGAGCTTAGAAAAAATTCGCAGTGTGAGATAGGCAAGAAGCAAGGCGTGTAGCAACATCAGCACGGCAAAGGGCACTCCTTTAAAGGCAAGGAAGGACAAAAATATTTTAAGTCAAGTGATAGCGATTGCTGTATGAGTCGTACGATTTTTGAATCAGCACAGGCAACCAGGGCCATACTGTTAGGATATATATATATATATATATATATATATATATATATATATATATATATATATATATATATATATATATATATATATATATATGATTCCTTTATACAAGTTTCATTAAAACGACTGACAAGGTACGGCGGTTAAGCTTTTTTATTTAGTTTTTAAAAATTTTTCTTCTTTTCTGCATGTAAATTATTTAGAAATTCTCCAAAGATTTTGTATGTCCGAACGCTTACGGCTATACTTTTAGCCATTATCAAGGATGATTTTATCTGAATATATGGATTGTTTTATGTATGTATCTAGAGTTATAGGAATGTTTTATTTTCCAAACAAGATCAGCACATTGTGACCATGACCATTGTTCTACCAAACTCTTTCCGCAAGATACTCATTGATAAGACAAATACAATAATCTCATCAAATGTAAAATAGACAAAAAATAATGGAAGAATTATTAATAAAAATGAAAAAGCCAACACTCAATAATATCAACATAATTTACGACCAGAAAAATTTTTTTTACAAGAACAATTACCGTAAATCCCCATGTATAATACGCATTTTTTTTCTAAAAAATAATAAGCAAAATCAGGGGTGCGTATTATGCACAGCTACAAAAAATCTTTAAAAAATTGCGGTAAATTAAAATAAGAATTATAACAAAACTAAATTAAAATAATATTATTCTATGTTTAAAATAATAAAACCATTTTTTAAATAAGAGTAGGAATCGCTGACCGTAATGAAATTGGAGAGGTACAATTTATAGGGTTTGATTAACAAACAGAGGGGCGTATTATGCGTGAGTAGAAGCATTTTCTCACACTTTTAGCACAATTTTAGGGGTGCGTGTTATGGATGAAGGATGCATGTATAATACACATGGGGAATTACGGTAAATAAAGTCACTTGTCAGTTGTTTTTAATGGACGTTGTGTGTATACCCACTGGACCAACGTGTCTCGGAGACGGGGAGGTAACAATCTCCTTTAATTTCTATATATATATATCACTTCTTGAACCGGCTTCTAATGCTCCGGATGGGGGTGGGGATTGGGGATAGAAGATGTGACTCATGGGGGTACAGTCCGTTAGTATAAGTAGACACGGATGAGTCACACGACGGAATTTGTGAAGAGCTGGAGCTATATCGAGTCTGAGGTGAATTAGTTAAAAATAATAATTCACCTCTTAGAACAAAATGAAATAGAACAAATATTTATGAATTTAAATATCCATTAAAGGCTTATATTCCTGATCAATCAAAATCCGTAAAGAATTATACAGGCCACACTACAATATATTTGACAAGAAGACTCACACTACATCTTTATGATCATAGATCAATTAGGTCTCATTTAAATACTTATGGAGACCTACTGGTTCCTATTCGTAATATACTGGTTGATAACACAAATATAATAGTAGGAGAAAATAATGGAATTTTTGTGTGTATATAAGATTGTCGATTTTTGTAAATACGCACCTCTATACAGGACATTATCCGAAAATAAGTCCGGAAACGATAGTAAATTTCAAATTTCCTCAACAAGCATTTTCGTAAGATTTAATAAAATATTTGTACGGTTAAAATATTTAGCCTTTTTTAAATATTGGATTCTTTAAAAAAAGAAAAAAAAAGCCATTTACGTTGTATTCGCCATGTAATTTAATTTTTTATTATTATTGGATTTTTAAAAAAATATATAAAAAGCCATTTACGTTTTATTCGTTATGTAATTTTGTTACTCGTATTTTACCCTTATATAAATCTCATAAACATCAGGTTATCTATGTGTCAATACTCTATAGAAACATTCACACGAATTTAGAAAAATGCTTTTCTTCGATATTTTAAACTAAATGTAATTTTTTTTTTTAATTCTGATTAATTAACTTTAAATCAGTTAATCTTCGACAAATAAAGTTTCAGAAAAGAATATTTTGCTTTTGAAAGATTTTTTAATAAATAGATTTATGCTGTGTTGGCAGATTTGTAAATTTGGTCGATTTCAGCTATTAAAAAATATCATTCCAATCAATTCAAATTTGGAATTCGACGCATGAGGGTCCTAGGAAACTGACAGCCCGACATCAGCACATGAGATTTGATTATAGAGGTGAAGGTTTTGGCAGAACCATCCACACTTTTTGAAGGGCCGAAGACAGAGTCTTGGTGCACTACGTGTCACAAGGTCCCCAAACGACCCTCCACAGGTTTTGAATTCAGAGTTGTCCTTCTCCTAGACTAGTTGCCAACCAAGGCTATAGAACCCAGCCTGTCCTGCTATTTACCCATAGCTGGAGGGAGGAAAGTATTAGCACGTAAGTGAATGTAATGGGTTCGACTGGAATTCGAACTCGGCTCTCCGTTACTCCACCGTGCCTCCTATATATATATATATATATATATATATATATATATATATGTGTGTGTGTGTGTGTGTGTGTGTGTGTGCGTTGAACAATAAAAAATATTCCTCGACTAGTTTCGGCCAACATGGCCATCATCAGGAGAAAAAAATTCTGCTTGCAAGTAACAGTGAACTACAGAAATGAATGTCTTGATGGAGAAAATAAACTTTCGCCTGTAGTTTTCATTGTTTTTTTTTATTTTTCTAACATGAATTTTGGTCAGTACTTGTGTTGGTCAAACAGTCTCTTTTAAGTTGTTATTTAAGATAAGAGCTGGATAGATTCATGCTGCTCTGAATTCCCTTGGTCATTTTGAGAGTTTTATTGATTCCTGGAAATGAAATGTGTCTCTGTTAAGTGTGTGTGTTATTTGGTTTTGAGGTAGTGAGTAAGTATGATGCGTATAAGTGTGTATATTACTTTGGCTCAT